AATTTCCTATTTCTTCTCCTATGTTTCCAACAATAGCCTTTATTTTATTGTGGGTTTTTTTTAGATTTTTTTTAATCCTGCCTTTATTATTTTTATAAATATCTCAAGGCAGTGAACATACCTAGTACTCTTTCCTCCTCCTATTTTCCCCACACCAAATAACCCTGTGAAGTGAGTTGGGCTGAGAGAGAGTGACTGGCCCCAAGTTACTCAACTGGCTTTCGTGCCTAAGGCGGGACTAAAACTCACAGTCTTCTGGTTCCTAGCCTGGTGCCTTCACCACTAGATCAAACTAGCTCTATGTGTTTCTTTGTAGCATAATAATATAAGAACTGCATTGTACTGGATTTTGCATTGGGTGAAAAAAATGTTCATCTAAAATTAATTTGGAGGTAGATTTAAGGGAAAAAAGAATCCTGTCACATAGATAGGGGTAATTTCAATTACAATCTTTTGCCAAAATCCTTCATATCAGAAACTGAAGGGGAAAAGAAAAATGGATCTTTATAGCTTTTTACAGGCAACAATCCAGAAGAGATTATTTCCAATTCAGCTTTATTAATTACTGATGCAAACCTTCCTCTATATAGTAACATTGATGGTTATTTCAAACAGTTTTGCACATTTATTCCACTCACAAGCAGTAATACATACAAATAGAAGCTACATTTTAAAATCTGAGTGGATGTGTAGGGTCCCACAATTATTTGGGGTTTTTATTGTATTAGAGCATTTCAAGATATACCCCCCCATCCCCAAACATACCTTTTTAAAATGATTTCTTGGGTGTGAACAGACTGCTATCTTTGTGAGGGAAAAGACTGAAGTATATTTGTGAAGATTAATTAATTTAAGAATGTGTAGCCTTTTTTCTTTATTGCAAATTCTCTCATCTTTCAGGTTTTTGTTATCAGTGGGTGTCTGGTTCCTTCATCATCATTCTCATTAAAAGCTCTATTAGAAACACTGCATTATATCAAAAGCTAAAAGATTAATAATGTAATTCTGTGGCAGTCTTGTAAGGTTGTAAAGCCTTTGAGTAAATCTGAAAAATTGGACTACACAAGGATATAAAGCAGGAATCATTCTAATGGATTGTTTTCAATCTTCCAAAAAGAGGTGGGATGGTTTTTGCTTGGAGCTTAATGGTAAAGGAGTAGCTGAGTCCTATGTTGTGAAATGCAATAAGAGCGGGGCGATGCCACACAAATAATTCAGTATTCAGAGACTTAGTTGTCAGCAGGCTTTTCTTTAAGGGAGAAAAGCAGTGATTGGTGTTTAAAAAAAAATCTATTTTACTTATCAGTGTTTTAAACTTGGTTGCAATTTTCTTCCCCCACAACAATGAATAGCGGTGGAGCATTTTATACTTGAGTGTGCCTCACTGATGTCTTGGCAGTATTACTCGCAATTAGCAATTTATTTTGGCTCAAGGACTCATATATTCTAGTGGTGGAAAAATACTGAAGAATTATGGGTCCAGTTTTTAAAATGATATCATTTTAGTTAAAATATTGAAATAAAGTCCCTCTTATTCCTCTACTTCTGAATAGGTTGCTTTTGCCTTCTAAGCAATATCACTATTCATTTTATTATTATTTCCTTTGCAGCTTTACTAGAAAAGGTGAGCACACATAGAGATAATTTCAAGGAATAACTGGGTAGAATTTAGAGGATGCTAAAAAAAATAGGATTTGAAGGAGGATGTTGTACTGTTCATTAAAGTAGTCTATTCTGTCTTCATGAAAGCCTACAGTTAATTAACATTACTTCATCTGTCTTAGCTTATTTGTTATGAAATATTCTAATAAATAAAATAAATATATATTTACAATTGCTGCATCAGTAGTGAGCTAATAAATGCTAACAGGTACATTCAATATTTGTTGGCATTGGCAAGATTCATTTACAGAATAAATAAATTTTCGGTTATTAGTCAGTGATTCCAATTTGCATATCTCCAAGGAAACCTTGAAAACTAATAAAAAGCAGAAGTTTATCTGTTTTGTTTCAGCAGTTTTTCATTTTTCTCAATAAATAACATAAAGTGAATTTCTTCTGGCTGGTATATTTTCCAGCAACGACTGGGTATAATATAAATTAATCTAGCCTGAATCTATAGCCTGAAAGAGGTGACATAATTTTCCAGTCATCAAACTAAGGGCTTTTTAAACCATTATTTCAGTATGTGAATCCAGGGTTTGGATTCCAGCCATAATACTTGAGGCAAAATGATTGAATGTTAATTTGGTATGCAGATTAACGTTAGATTGGCATGTGGGAGAGCACTGCAAATGCATAAGAGAGAAAAAAGTCCCACTATCAATCTGGTTTGATTCAATTGTCCAAAATTTGAAATGCATATGATCAACTTACCACAATGCTATGCTGAAAGAGTCACATGAAAAGATTCTAATGGACTCACACATGGAGTTGTGATTACTTCTTTGTTTATTCAATTGACTTATTCATGATATGGAAGTGTAGAAGGAGAAAAGTAAGTAGGTATAGCATAGATTAGCAAGCATGTGTTTTTGTGTGCGTAGGTATGTGTAGTGAAAGAAAAGTAACCATAATGTATATTTGGCTATATATGTATATATGTATATTTTTATAACAAGTATAGAAGAGAATATATAAATAGATACAGATTGATATAGAGGCAATAACAAAGGAAGTAGCAGTGTATAAAACATTTCAAATTCACCTGTTGTGAATTCACCTTGTTTCAAGTTCACAACAGCTTGTGAAAGATTTCGAATTTGAAACATTTTGCGTATATGTAGAAGAAACCCCTGGTGCCCTTTGGTATATAAGCTTATATGTCTTTTGCAAGTTGCTCACAATCAGCACTGAAATTAAAGGTTTTAAAGCTTGTTTGAAGTGTCATTTTATCTAGTGGGCCTGTTGATCTCTGTGCTTGGAGTGAAGAGATGATCCAAACATCACTACAATTACTCCCAGCATTTTCAGTCAAACTGTAATACTGGCTCAACTAACTAAAAAAATTAACTAAACCCTAACCTTAACGTAAAAGCTTAGGTCAGTGACTACAGTTGGCTGATTTGAAACTCGGGGAAAACACAGCTATAATCTGAAATACTTTTGTAGTGATTACAGCAAAGAACTCTTACTACTTTGCTTCTGTAGTGTGGTGTAATGGTTAAGGTATTGTACTTGTACCAGGTTTAAATCCACCACAGAAGTTTCACACATGATTTTGGACTAATCACCCTCTTTTAGCCCAATGTACTTCACAGGCTTGTGGTTATCAGGATGAAATGAAATGAAGGGAGATCTCTGTGTTAGTCATCTTGAGATCCTGAAGAAAAGGCCAGGTATAAATCTAACAAATTAATTAATTAATTAATTAATTAAAAATGGCTAGCCAGCCATTTATAGGCAAGGAGCCCATTAATGCAGATTTTGGGACACAGAATGAAGAACTTTTAGACTCTTGCTAGGACTGCTTTATATTGCATTTTGCAAATAAAATTGCTTGCATCTGTGCTGAGTTGGATGCCACATTTTAAATAATACTGAAAAAGTATGCACCTAAGATTCTTTATGTTTGTTGAAGCTGGAAACACAAACAGGTTTTCTTGGAGGCCTAATGTTTACCCACCTATATGCTAAATTCTTATTCATATTTTCTTACAACAGTCTTCCAGAGCAAGGTTGTGTGTCAGAAATAAGAAATGTGTTTTGAAAACAATAAATCTGGATTTCTCAGTTTGTGATGACTTATATACTCATGACTTAGAGCATTCATGAAGACACCACAGGAAAAAAAAAACACATGTATATCAGACCCAAAGGAGAAATGGATTAAAGTTTCTTTATAATAAAACTTGTGAATCATCTCAGATTTTCCACAGTGCCACAAAGCTAATGAGAGTGATCTGAGAGGCAATATGGCATACAGCATATGGGTGGAGGATGAGATTTATTCACTGCTTTCAGCCCAATAATATATCACTGAAGTTAACTCCAAGACTTTACAGCCATTCAAAATGAGTTAATCACATGGTCCTGCAATCACTGGTGGCACCTGACATAACACAAAAATTGTCCTCCTTTCTTAATTAACAAAAAATGTCTTGAGATACTTTTTGAAGCTGGAAGAAAGAACAAAGGCAAGAACATGGAAGAAACCACTTCCCCAAGTGAGAAATTCACCACAGCAAGGTCTACCAATGGAAAACAGGAAGGACAGATGTTCAGGTTGTAGATAGTGTTGGAATGCAGACTTTGACTAAAGCGAATCTGAAGAATCTGGTACAGCCAGGAATGAATAATCTGTTTTAATAGTATAATATTGAATCCAGACTACAGTTTTACAAGGGAAAATAATATAGAAAATGGGATATCTTTATCTCAGTAACCTAATTAGCACTCTTACAGGATGGCTTTGGGTTCATTCACAGCACTGTTGTGTTATTGGTGCAAGGTCATGAACTTCAGACCTAGTTTTAATTTAATTCTGCTGTAGTGGAAACTAATCTTATTGAATCTCTCTCTGACAGTAAAGTGGAACTACTGGTTCAGATTGGGATGAATCTGTTTGTTAATGTTGTCTTGAGATGGTGGCTTCTTGATTTCTTTTTCTTTTTCTCTTTCTCTGAAATGATAACATATCCCAGTGTTAAGTCAAGCTAATAAGCAGCCTGTTTTATTTGCATCCTTTATAGATCCTTGTATCCTCATGGACTACCCGATCTATATTCCATTCTAACTACTTTTCGGATGACTGGGAATACAGTTCAGAAATCCTGGAGCCTGTGGCAAGTTCTAGATTCTTCTGGAAAAGAGCAAGTTGGACTGACGCTTAATGGGCCAGCCAAATCTCTTGAATTCTCATATAAAGGAATTGATGGAAGTCTTCAGAAAGCAACATTTTTGGATTTGCCTTATCTTTTTGATTCCCAGTGGCATAAAGTTATGGTCGGTATAGAAAAAAAGACTGTCACACTTTATATCGACTGTGCTATGATACAAACTCTAGCCATAAAGCCGAGAGGAAAGATCAATGTTGATGGTTTTACCACATTGGGAAAACTGAAAAATAATCCTCAAATTTCAGTTCCGGTAAGCTGTAGACATTTTCCTTTATAACAAAAGTATTTTTCGTTTTTTAAAGAAATTGTATATGGTGATGGAGTATAATATGCTTCAAATGGAGCAGTAAGAAATGGTTCAATAGTTTTGACATTGTAAGGAAAAGAGTATCTCTTAATAAGATTTAAAGACTGAAGCCTCATTATAACCAAGTATCTGGAAATTTGTTTTAAGTGAACCTTTCAAGAACTGTATAGCCACTGAAGGGAAATATTATGAAAATAGGAGATAATTAATAGACCAGACTAAAATGGATGCTGGATCCACTGAAAATTTAAGTCTTAATTCTTGGAAAGTATAACTAAAAGCCACAAAACTTTTGCAAATTAGAAATGAAGACCATCATCTTTGAACTGTATTATAGTTAAGCAGCTTATCAAAATTAATTGTGCTGTCAGTTAAAAGAATGTGGGTTGACTTATGGATGTAGGATTTATTTTCTTGTGTTGAAGAATATCTGAAAAAGTCTGAACAGAAACTGCATCCTCCTGATAATGGAAGTATGATCCTCTTCCTAGAAATATCATAGCTACAAAATCTAGACTATATATACTTTTTTAATGTAAGGATGAAGCATTTTAAAGAATAAAATTAATACTTTATTTTGGAACATATCTTACATTTGGCAAGAGACTGAGAATCTCCAGACATTGCCCAGATTAGGGCAATGGATTTAACTGCAAAAAGATTGCATCAGTGTTAACGTTTATTCATTTTCATAGATGAATTGTGACTGAAGTGACAAATCTAAAGAGTCTGTGAAGAACCTGCCACCTATGTTAGCAGGAAACATGGCATGTAAGGCTTAGATATCTTTGTGCAAACACAATACTTAGCTTTATTTCTAATAATATAATAGAACTTTATTCCAATTATATAAAATGAAGGCATTAGCAAATATATGGACAACCCATTTGGCAGGCTCTGTAAAGGCCTTTCCATTCATTATTCACTTTTATGGCTACCCCATGATACTGATTTTGCAATGAAATCAATCTGTATTAGCTATATTAGTCTTTTAAACTTGGCATACTCAAGTTTCAAACAACATTGATCTACATGTTCATTTTCTGGCAAAACAAATTTTCTTCTTATCCTGTTAAAGGATCACTATCTTCTGCCTTCATGGACTAGCACCAGCATCATCAATATGATACTGTCAGGGGAAAAACCCCATCAAACCTGAGAGACAGACACATGAGAACACAGACCACTTCAAAGTTCTAAAGTATTTATTAAATGTTAATTCAATAAGCAAGTATAGTTCAATACATATACCTTAGTTCAAACAACAAAACGTAACATACTTACTTAAGATCCCATTGCAATGAGGTCCAGCATGGACAAGCGGTCAACCTGGACAGCTTGTGGCTGTGTGGCCCTGAGCCCCTCCCAACAATCCTTTTTATTCTTCAAAACCACACACCGCAATCATGACTCCCAGGATGAGCTACCGTCCTTGGTGCTAATTTCACTGCACTTCCCTGTTCCAT